AAATAAAGGTTCAGGTCTCTGTCAAATACAATCTTACTTTCAATAGATTAATAAATCTAAATTGTTATTCAATCCAAATTTTTTTTAAAATAACTAATAAAACTACAAACACTGCTTGTGAACTCTGCGATTATAGCCATTTTCTTATGGCAGTGAATAAATTCACAAATTTAGATATTTATGTGAAGATATGTAGTTGAAAGATTTTATAGGCAATCAGCTTTCTCCATTGGGAAAATTTAACTTATTCAAAAAGTAGCAGAAAATTAATATTCTTTTGAGCTCCATATACTCTCTAGTTAATAGAATTTTCCAGAAGATATTATCTGGAATATTTTTTATGATAAAGATGTTAGATAATAATAATAATAACTATAAGTTATGATATAAAATTTAACATGCTATTGGATAATCTTATGTCAAATCTAACGTTTTGGCATACTTCTTCAAATTTAAAATTTTAAACTTAAATATATGGAGATATTAGGAGTCAAGGTGATAATATTGCCTATTCTTATCATTATCATTTTACAATATCTAAAATCAAAATTTTTTAAAATAATGGATGTTAAAAATTCCATTTTATAATAATATCATTGTACATCTTAATTACATTTAATTTTAAAAATTAGCATGGAAAAGACCCAACTTCAGTATCAACTTTAAATAAATGAAAATGTTTTTCCCCGTCTTTAGGCGTTCTTCATAATATGATGATTTCATGTTTAAACGTATTAAACATAATTTATCATTGTATAAGTTCAAATATAGTATAAAATTAAATAGATATACTATTCGTGTTTACATTATCGGATCAGATCGATATCTTCAAAAGATCTAATTCTACCTAATATTTTATTGTTTTTAGTAATATGGTATCAGAGTTGGGCAGTACCGCGAATACTTGTATCTAAGATACAAGATCCTTTTGCATCTTGTACTCAGTATCTTATAGACATTTTTTATAAGATACTAGTATCTGTATCTAAGTTCCTTTATTTTGAAACAGATTCTTTTTAATATTCATGTTTAAAACATTTACATATCACACATAACTTTATTTTCTTCGTGAAATCTTATTATTTTCTTTATTTTTCCTGCTATATTTTAAATATATTGATAACCAAAATTAGTTGGAAATTTTACAGGTCACAAAGATTGATAGATTAAAAATAACAACACCAAAACTAAATAAGAAAAGGATATATTTTATATGTAATATTTTTTAATTTGTAGAATGTTTAACATTAAAGTGAAGATGAAATTATGGGTAGGTTCTCCTGAATCAAATCTGAATCTTAGATGGAAAATTTTATAAAGTAATTCATGTGAAAAAGAACAAGGTACAAGTTGATTGTCAAAATTGCACAAGTAAGAAAGTTATTAAAGGTTGAACAAACTCCTCTACAAACTTTGTTAAACATATTATAGTGATATGCATCGGGCCTAATTTTTCAAGCCTGGCCCGGGCCCGAAATTTTTTTAAAAAGATTTCACGGCCCAAACTCGAAATTTTTTTAAGAAAATTTACCGGCCGGACCCGAATTTATTTAAATATAGAAATTAATTTTTATAATTACTCAAAATAAATTTCAATAAATAAAATCAAAAATTTTTATTTTACATAAAAAATTCAATATAAAAATTGATAAATTTAGATATATTTAAAAAAAATTCCAAGGTCTGACCCGACCAGGCTCGAATTTTTTTAAAAATATTAGGCCCTGCCCAAACCCGATGTATATTATACATTTTTATTTTATAATTATTAATATTACCCATACTTAAGTCCCTCTTAGATAATTGTTATTAAAAAATTTTATAGAAGATGAATTAAAATCATTTTGGATATATATTTTTTAGGGGTGTATCGATACCACTTTTTAGAGGCCGATCAGATATTCTCGATATTAAATTGATATCAGCCGATTACCGATCCGATATCATATCTAATTTTGTATTCTGTAAGATGCCAATGGTTTTAATTTTTAATATACTTTTTATAACATCTATAATTTAACTATACCATAACTTATGTCATTTAAATATATTATAATGATCAGTTATAGTTTATATTCAATTGCAATTCTAAAAGTATATAAAATATTTTTACTGTTAAATCAATTTTATATAATAAGTAATAACATTAATTTATATAATAATAAGTAATAAACAATTATATTTTGAAATTTGAAATAATATTTAACATTAATATATTGAAGATTTTTTTTTAGAAATACCAATATTTCCAATTTATCAACCAGCTTCACTAAAAACAGATTATGAAGAGAATATCGCACACTTTTATAAACAGAATGCGCAAAAAAAATAACAATATGGCAGAATGTTTATTAATTATTATTATTAAAAAAATATACTTAAAAATGGATTTCGATTTTATTTATTGATTTTAGATATAACTTTTTTTTAAATTTTATAACTTATTTTTATTAAAGAAGCCATTTTATATTGGATCAAATTTTATAATATTGCCCTATAACCGATATTTTAAAATGGGTGAAATCGGCCAGATCCGATCTGATAAAAAATATTGGCCCATCCTTAATATATTTTATATATAATTATTTTAGCAAGTTCTTATCAAAGGAAATATTTAAGCTACAATTGATATATAACATTAGATAATTTTAAAGGCTCGTAATAAAATATTTATAATAAGGTAGAATTTAACTTTATTAGTTACTTTTACTTATTTATGATATAAGTAAAAAAAAATATTTTTCCGGTCATGGGTTACTTTATTTGAATACTTACTGATACAGTATTTATTTACAAAATTTAATCAATTTAAAATGCATTAAAGAAAATTGTTATGTATTTAATAATTATAATATAATGTTGTACATTATTTTCATATTTTTCATATATAATTAATGATTTTGCAAGAAATATATAAAAAAAAATTTGAAAGGAGATTTAAATGATATTTATCAAACAAGTAATAATAAATACTTATTAAAGATAATGAATAAAATAAAACTAGTATATTTTTTTAGAGATGCCATTTAGCCATTTACTCCGAATATAAGCTATATTTAAAACAACACAGAAAAAAACCTGCAAATTCTAATAAATCATTTGATTTAATTTTATTTTCTTATTTGCAAATTTTCAACTCCAATTAAATATACTACTCTCCCTTCCCTGTTTAAGCTATTTATAGGCAAAATTAAAATCCCTGGTTATTATAATTAATTCATTAATAAATATTTTAATTATTGTAAATATTCATTCTTATATGTGTATGCTATGTTCTTAACAAATAAATAATAAAAACTGTATTTTATAAACTATTCTAATTTAATTGGTAATGATAATTTAAAAGTATCTTGTATTTATGATACTCTAATTTAGTAAAAGATACAAGTATCTTTTTGATATTTTGAAAAAGATACTAGTATCTGTATCTAAGATTCATTTTTTTATAAAGAATCTGTATCTAGATTCTTTTTCTGGAGGACCTGTCCAACTCTGTATGGTATGTATATTTTTAATTAATATATTTTATTTTATGCATGATTTCATAATTAAACTTAAAAGGAACCAAAATTCAATTTATTTGCAATGTTTAAAAAATAAAATTAATTTAAAATAAAGTAGCTAAAAAATTTAATTTTTTTTGTTATATCTGCAACAAGTAAATGTTTAGTTTTTTAAATGGCTAACTCACAGTGGCGTAGCTAGTAATTTTCCTTAGGGGGGGGTCCATACATATAAAAGCTGGGGGGCTTCGTGCCCCAGACCCCGTTTAACGGGCCTTCGGCCCTTATGTCCGGCCTTCGGCCGGGTTTATCTTACAAATCATAACCATATCTTCGATAATATAATAAATATATTTTTTAAATGCATCAATAATATGTTACTAAAATTTAGTAGATTACTCTCAATGACTTTATAATAATACTATCCAGAATAATTTCAATAGTAATATAATATCCTTCCACAAACATCAAAACCAGAAAAATATAATTAATATAAAATCACTTTTAAGTCTTTTGAACGTATAATCTCAAAAAAAAATTTGCTCTGGGAGGGGTCCAAACCCGAAAACCACCCCCGTAGCTACGCCACTGCTAACTCATAATTTAACCAACATTTAGCAGAAAGTTGATTATTGTCAAAATTTCGAAGCTTACATATAAATATTTAGCTAAATCTTGATAGCGTTTTTTAATCAATTGTATCTAGTTTTAACAAAACTACGTTCAGCCATAAACATTTCCCATAATTATAATGAGATGATTAACTTTTTGAGAATAAAAAAAAATAAAATTCACTTAATAATTCTTAAAAGTTTTTTTTGAATAAAAAATATTAATTTATAGCATTTATTCAAATATAATGGTAAATAAAATCAATTATAATATTGGTAATCGGATCAATTTTATTTTAAACTAATATGAAACCGTTGATAAAATCCCAATGCTATATATATTATATAAAACATAGTTCTTAAGGGAGACCAGGGTAAAGCGATTGATGGGGTAACAATGTGCTTAACTATGATAAAATGTATTTTTATATCGAATTTCTTACCTCATATTTTGAAAAACTTTCCAGGATTGACATATTTTGCCAAAAAACCATTTTTTACCCAAAAATTATAACCGATTCTTATGCCTCCATTTTATCTTATCTTTTATTTTTTAATAATAGTTCAATCATCCTCGAGTTTATTTTGCTTTTCACAAATATTTAAAGTCTAATTTAAAATTTGGTGTGTGTATATATTCCTTAAAGTTATAGCTATTAAATTAAATTTATCGAAGTTTAAAGCTTAACCAAAAGTCATGCAATAAGGATTTGTATGATATAACACCTTGTGGTAATGGTTAAGAGTAAAAAAGATAAAATGTTCCTTATGATTAAAGCTGTAAAAGGTAATATTTAAATATTAATGCCTACCCCATATTAAAAAAATATTTTTGGACAAAAGGGAACATTAAAAAATAGTTTGTGTGCTATTTGGGAAAAAGGCGTAGGTTAATCCATTCCTGGATACTGATCCTTTAACAACTCTAGTCTTTTTATTTTGACTTATATTAATTTAAGGGTAAATTCTCTCTTTATTTCAATAGTTGCTGATATAATATGTTATCAAAAGTTTATAGCAAATAATAAATTTTTTTATATGGTAAAATTAATAAAGGTAAAAAAATATAATTTGCGAAAGGGTGGCTTAAATATTTTCTTAATATTGACAATCTCCTTATAATCTTAAACCTAAGAAAGTGTCCTAAAATTGTGACCAAAATATGTGATCCCCATTAATATTAGTACATAAGCATTGCAATAAAAATTTATTTACAATAAATAAATTATTACTTTAATTACTAATGATAAGCTTAGAAATTTAATTTTGTTATAGTTTCTTTTATATTTTGTATATTTATTAGCTGATCAAATTGTAAAAGTTCATCAGGTAACATGTTAAAGGTGTTAGAATTTAATTGAATATTGTCCATGTCTTGTATAAATCTAAATGCAATCTAAATAAATATAATTATTTATAAATGGAAAATGAGTGTTTACTTCATTTTTTTCATCTGACTTATAAAAATATGAAGCCTTGATTGAGCTAATATTGGAGCAATTAAAATCATCTAGGTTGAATAGTAGGTATGATTGTTGATCAGGTATATGTGGATTGATATCTATCAATATAATTTTATCTGAGCAAGGCCTATATATATCAAAGCTATCTATTAAAATTTATTTAAAAAATAATGTTAAATTTATTTTCACAATGTTTTTCAGGAAAGCTATTTAAATAATTATTAAAAAATAGCAAAGTTTCTTCACATATTTTAAGGCATTCATCCTGAATATAATCATATTTATGGGTAACATCCCTCTGTGATATGGCTAAAATTTATTTATACATCTTAAAGTGAGAATATTATACCAAATAATTTTTTTTCAATAACATAGCATCTAAATTCATATGCAGGGTTGATATTTATCCACTTTTTAATAACCAATTCATTTTTATCTAAATTTTTATTTAAAAATACATATATAAAATAATATACCATTATCAGAATTCAGCAATATTTTATTAGATGCTTTTAGCAATATATATATTTCTTGACAAGATGTGCAAAGTAAGCTATAATTTATATTTATCCATTTAGCATCTATAGGGGCCTTTTGATTAAACTTAGGAAACACATTACCTCCAAATTTAACAATTAAATTAAGCAATTTTTTCTCAAATTTTAGAGGTATTATATTTTGCTTTATTTCCTCATCACTATCAGATAATATTTCAAAATCAGACATCTTTTTCTAAATATTATAAAATTTTTGAAATAATAATTTTATCATATACCTCTTCTTCTTCTGAAGGTAAAATAAATTTAGCATTTAATATAAAATTGGATAATTCCTCAGGAACTACTATGCATGAACTAAAATAAATTATATTTAGCAAACAAATATTTTACCCTGGGATTGTTATATCTTTAAACTTCTCATACCAGCTAGAGAAATTAAAATTATTCATGAATTCTTGTTTTAAATTCACATTTCAAGAAAAATTAAAAATGACAGTTGATTGAATTTTTTTTTTTTAATATAAAATATACTATAATTTGAATATCTTTAAATATTAGATTACTATAACATAATTTAAAAAATATATAATTAGTAAACAATTACGAAAAAAAAAATTCATAATAACAAAAGGACAATATTGAGGCATAGATCATAAAATAATGTAAAATACAAAATAAACAAATAAAAGCTAAAGCAGCAAAAATTATTCAAAACCTCCTTCATCTAATCATCAGGAAAGATCGAATTAATAAAACAAACATAATTAGCCTTAAGAATGGCTATTGCGATCCTCTGCCTTAAGTAAAAACCTTCGCGAGGTTCCCCAGAATTTTTTTTGATTAGGCGACCAACGTCTTTAAAAAAGTTTTTAGCCAAATCACCACATGTAGTTAAGGTGGAGAAAATGATGGGTATAAATATGTAATTTGAGGAATCAGCGCTCTATTTGCTGATCTTAAAATTTTGAGCTCTGTTCAGAGCGTCCTTGTTAAAATTAGAGGGGGAGTTAATGTCCAGACAAGAGAATATAATATAAAAATTCTGATAATCTAAATAGCGAACGAAGATTAGAATTAATAAAATCAAATCTGGTAACATATTTGATTTTATTAAAACGCAATATTTTATCTATTTCAACATTTATATATTACATCAAAGTTGGGCAGTCCCGCGAGATCCTTTTGTATCTTATCCTCAGATTCTTTTGTATTTTGTACTGTAACTGAGTTTCTTTTTGGCCTTTTAAATATGATACTTGTCTATATCTAAGAATGCTTAAAATAATCTTGTATGGTTTTAATTTTCTTGACAAAAGAAATAGGTAACTTATTTTTTTGCGGCTTCTTTATTAATTTTATTATTCTTAATATCCAGTAGTCATACTTTAAATATATCTGTAAAATTTACAATATATCAAAATCAGCCAGAGAATCAACATCAAATTGAAAAATATATATAAAAACAAAATAAAGCATACTTGTTGAGCTCCGTGAAGTTGGCGAAACGACTTGAAGATCAAATTATTGTCTCAGAGGAAAAATTAATCCTTATAACTCGTAGTTGCCTATAATTTTGGAATGCGACTTTCAAATTGTAGAAGGGAAAACAAAGCCTATTTCGTTCGTGTCGCATACTTTATTATAATGAAACACTACTCCCAAATGATAAAGAAGTTCGAGCACTTTTATTTGGTATTGAAAATTTTTAATCATTTATCTATGTTAGAAAATTTTTACTTTAAACTGATCCCAAACCATTAGAGCGCTTATTTAGTGAGAAACCCGTTCTACCTAAAATTTATTTATTTCTATAAAATTGACAGGAAGAGATTTCTGTCGATCGTGATATTATAGAATGGAATGAGAGATTGGTTACTAAAGAAATGCAGTGTTAGGAATGATTTATCGGGGACTTCCTGGGGAAAATGTAATACAATCTATTTTTAGATCGTATTTTTTTGTGGCCCAAATGTGATATTGATATAAAAAAATTTTTTTAATAAATATAGACTGAAATTCAAGAAGTACCTTTGTATTCTTGGACTGTTGGCAAAAAATATTGGGCGCGAATCTATATTTATTTTGCTGGACAAGTAGATTCGCGATATTGGCTAATTGGTGTTGATTCCTACTCCAAATGGTTTGAAGTTGATATAATGCAGAATACCTCTGCTGATGCTCTGATAACGATTTTAAAAAAATTGTTTACTAGGTTTGGAATACCCACATTCATTGTGTCAAACAATGGACCGCAATTCATATCTGGGGAATTCCGTCGATATTGTGATTTAAATAACATACGGCAGATACGTTCTACACCTTATCATCCGAAAACTAATGGATTAGCTGAGTGTACTACGAACTTTGAAAGGTCGATATTACGCAACAAGAGAATCAAATTCTGATCCAGAAGAAGCTATGATACAGATTTTAGCAACCTATCAATTGGGGGAGCATAGCTCTACAGGGAGACATCCTGCCAAGATTATCTTTGGAAGGCAATTGAAAACTAGTTTGGACTGGATGAGACCAAATGTATAACATGCAAAATCATGATTAACATTCGAAAGGGAGTGAATTCGAGATTTCACAACCTGTGTGGTTAAACAATGAGAGCACCAAAGGTCGGAGAAAGGGAGTGATTAAAGAAAGGACAGGATTATATTCTTATATTGTTGAAACTCCCTAAAGAATATTGCAGAAACACGCAGATCATCTAAGAAATCGTTCAATTATTCCGACTCATGAAAGTTCATCGGAAATTACAGAAATAGTTGTGCCAGTAAATGAAGCATATACAAATACAGCATTATGTTGTTCATCAAGAAACCGTAAACCTACAAAGAGGTTTATTGAGGAAATCTATCTTAAAAATGTTTGAAGGAAATGTAATAAATTTATATATAAAAGTAATATAAATTTTAATTAATTTAATTAAAAAATATGATGTGATAATTTATTATTATAACACGATATATTTTAATTCATGGTCATTTTCCAAATAGCTAATAATTAGTCGTTTTATTAAAATAATATTTTGTAAAGAAAAGTTAAATATAACACTTAGGTAAAGATATTTTTAAAAATATTATTAAATATATATTCATTTCAATATTTAGGAACTGAAGTAGTTATTTTTTAAGTTGCCTAAGTTCTGAATCTGCTCATTAGATTCAGATATATCACTTCTACTATAAATTATCTAATCCTCATTTGGTACCGCAATTTATGGCCTCTACACTGGATCATGAATTACAAGGTTTAAGATCATTTTCAAATGGTTATATCCCTTAAGCCACTTCCACTTTTATTTGAACAATTAATTTTATTGTATGACAAAACTATCTCTTATAGTTTTCCAACATTTTTTTTTATTTGTTCTACTGAATAAATAAAAAATGAATAAAATATATCCGTAACCTTCAAATCTCTAACAATTCTCAACCATATATTCTTGTATACTATATTTTTATATTTATCTAAACTTTATTTACTTTCACATATTCTATTAAGGTAAATTTGTCAATATCATAAATATTTAGGTAAGATAAATTATAAGTATAATTTTTAAAATTTAGGAATAAAATAATATATATTGCTTTATTTTTTAGATATCTTTTTTCTATACTTTTAGAATCTATAGGAATAATATTTCTATCAAATTTTGTAGTGTTGTTAGTTACTTTGGAATAACTAGTTACAGTTACTAGTTACATTTTTATAAATGTAACTAGTTATTAGTTACAGTTACATTATAAGACTCTTTGGTTCTTTTAAATTTTAAAATGGTCTATTAATTCAAAAAATGGGTTTCAGGTTATGTATTAGGAATTAATGATTTTTTCACTCAAATATTTGCAAATATGATATTTATATGTACAATTGTTGCAAATTATTTTAAACTTATTGCAAATATATGTATTTTAATGTTAATTCAAATAGAACTGTATAATATTGGAGTTTTTTTTTAAATTATATTATTTTTTTTAAAAAATAATTTTAATAAACATTTTTTTAATGTACTATTAAGTATAAAATTGAGATTAAATATCAAATAATTTATAATTCTATTTTTACGTAATATTATTGGAAAAAAAATATATTTACTAGCTTATTACAATAAATTTAATTTTTCAATTGCAAAATTTAACAAATATATATCCATAAGAGGGCGTTAAATGCATAAATATAAAAATATATTCTTAGGAAAGCAGAATGCGCTTTTTTTATATTTTGGTGTAAATACATGTAAAAAACCTATAAATTATTTTAAAAAATATAGGTTTCTTTGACTTTTAATTAATAAGTAGGTTTAGAATCAAAAAATAGTAGAAAATTTGTAAGGAACATATAGCTGGCGTTATTGATCGAAATCTTTTCATTTTTGGTTTATATGTGTATATTTAGGTGTTAAACCATATCCTAAAATATATTTTGAAAATATTATGATTTGACCGAATGCCGAGCTTAAAACCGACCACTTACTAAATATTCGATCGACCAAATTTGGTATTAATATTATTTGAAAAATGATCAGTTTTGGTTTATTTATCTATAAATACGTGTATATAATTATCCCAAAAAATATTTAAAAAATATCGTGATTTGACAGATAACCGATTTGAAACTGGGCCAATGACTAAATACTGCTGCTGGCGTTATTCATGGAAAATTCTTCATTTTTGGTTTATACGTGATCAATAACGTGTTAATCATTATCCTAAAATATTTTTTAAAAATATTATGATTTGACCGAATGGCGAGCTCAAACCCGACCATTTACTAAATATTCGATCGACCAAATTTGGTAGTAATATTATTTGGAAAATGTTTATTTTTGGTTTATTTATCTATAAATACGTGTAAAACATTGCCCCAAAATATATTTTTAAAATATCGTGATTTGACCGATACCGATTTGAAACCGAAATACTGCATTGCTGGCGTTATCCATGGAAAATTTTTCATTTTTGGTTTATACGTGAACAACAAGTGTTAAGCATTATCCTAAAATATTTTTAACAAAAAAAAATATTATGATTTGATCGAATGGCGAGTTCAAAACCGACCACTTACTAAATATTCGATCTACCAAATTTGGTAGTATATTATTTGAAAATGTTCATTTTTCTTTTATTTATCTATAAATACGTATAAAACATTACACCAAAAAATATTTTTAAAATATGGTGATTTGACCGATAACCGATTTGAAACCGAAATACTGCATTACTGGCGTTATCCATGGAAAATTCTTTATTTTTGGTTTATACGTGAACAATATCGTGATAATCATTATCCTGAAATATATTTTAAAACTATTATGATTTGACCGAATAACGAGCTCAAAACCGACCATTTACTAAATATTCGATCGACCAAATTTGGTAGTAATATTATTTGGAAAATGTTCATTTTTGGTTTATTTATCTATAAATATGTGTAAATCATTATCTGAGAAAATATTTTAAAAATATCGTGATTTGACTGATAACCGATTTGAAACCGGGCCAATGACTAAATACTG